ATGATATCAACTTCACAAAAAATAACAGTGGATAAAGGAGGACAGTGGTAAGTTTTTCTATGCACTTCGATTGCCAGACTTCTTGTTGATGAACTGTATATCTTTTTCTTGTCCTTGTGAATGGTGGTGACAATGGTGGAAGTTTCAGCAGCAAGGATGCATTCAACAGCTTCCAACAGGTCTGCGTGGCGCCTTTTCTAGCCAAGGGGCGTAACAGCACCTATAAAGGTGCAACATGCCGACCCAGACACCTAGAGCAACCGCCCACCTACCGCAGTGGCCGCACAGAAACACCCATCCCAAAACTGCTTTCTGTCAGTTGTAGCTTTCTGTGTACTCGTCCAGTGTCTCACAAAACAAAGGTTAACAAAGGCTTTCTCGCAGCTTTTTGACACCTTGCTTTTTCAACATTGCCCACTGCATAGTAACCTTGCCACCATTTAGACCGATTACCGAAATATCATGCCTTCAGGCATCGAATGGCGTGTAATACGGCGCGGATTGCGGCGCAACAGGGGCGCCCTTTACTACCAATGATGCCATCCTGGGCCTGATAAGCTGATGGTCTGTGCACTTCAAACTAAGGCACACCATTGGCTGGGGATTCAGGTCTAGTCCATGCCACCCCTCCCAGGGGGTGGCTTGATACGATCCCCCCTCTCCTAGTTCACTCTATTGATACGATCGAGCTGTGAAGCAGGGCAGAGGTCTTCTCAGCCGACTACGACCCCTCCCCTGTTGAGGAATACCCAAAGATGATGTGCTCAGCCCCGGACTGAGCACGTCGCACGCCATATCTTTTGCAGGGGTCGTGACTGTATCATACCGGTACATTTACACCAGGGTGAAAGTGGAGTTGTTCACCGCGCTGTGCAGGAGTCGAACCTGATCGGTTGTACTGTTGCTACTAAGGCTGCCATCCTTTCGGCGCAGTTAACTGAAAACAGGCTGGACTGGGGGGGGGGGTAAAACACTGACTTGTACATATGCTGCCCCCTAAAACCCCATTGATTAAGCCAAATCGCATTCAAAATGCCACTTGTTTTCGAATGGGAGCAGAGTGCTTGACTCATGACATTAAGGGATCGATTTGCGCCGGAAACTCCATCCATACCCATAACAGCCACCAGCAAGCCTAATGTGACACACGGAATTCGATTGCCCCCTCCCCCCTTCCCACCACTGACTCACGACTTGGCCTAATCTCACATCGCGCCCTAATACGAACTGTCCTTTAAATTCCCGTCGGATCAATTGGTCACGAACTCCTTAAAATTAACGAGGCAACTGGCGTGCGTGAGTGACAAGAAGGTATTAAGCCAAACGCTGTCCGACGGTTTTATGTTCCTTACTGTGTCGTACTATCCAATGTACGAAAGCATTGATAACAATCTCCACAAGCGAGATGAGCAAAAAATGCCACTAATGCAGAAACCTGAATACGAATATTTCTAAACAGAATCTCATTAAGCCGCAGTTTTTTGTCAAAGTGAAGTCCAAACCCAAAACAGAACCGTGGCTAACGTTTTTTTAGTTGGGTAGAAGCCGGGGGGCGGCGGAGCCTCGCGCCGCGCGAGCATGACTCAATCTGCCTGTCTGCTTCTCCTCGTGGGCCAGAAATGCAAGAAGTTCATGTTTTGGAGACTTGATCCACATACACGGCCTAATGTGGCATAACGAGATATGTGTGGTAAAACACTATGCTGAAAAAACAGTGCGAAAACCGTTCGAAAGGAGAACGTAATGTGGTACTGGCGTGGCCAGAGCAGGAAAAATGCGTTGTATTCTATGTCCTAAACTACTAAATGCCTTACCTTTGAGGTGGTGGAATGGTGGCTGGAACTCGCCGGGTCATGTTTTGAACACCACAGCGACATGGGTGTTGCGCCAGGTCCAGTAAAAATTGGGATCCTCCGAGAAAGTAGAGGGACTCTACTCCAATAGCTAATTATCAAATTTAGATTAATGGAATCGTGGACAGTTGCCTCACTTCCTGTCACAATACGAATCACAAGGCGATCTCACCTCACAATTCACTTCACCTCGTGGACTTCGAAGCCATTTGATTTTGCCGGTGAGGAAGATTAAGTTCACACTCGCCGCACGAGTGTGGCTTGTCCCCCTCCACCAAAGTACAGCTTTTCGGCACCATTATTTTTTTTCGTACCAGTTGGGTTTTTGTCGCTGGGAGACGGTTTTATAAATGGATTGGGACTTTTAGCGTTTTAATCACCATGCTTATACGTTCAGCTGTATTGAATTTGATACCATGTGTAGGATTGAAGATACGGGGTTCGTTATCACTTCGAAGAAATTCTTGGGAGATAACCTTGTTCTTTTCTAGTATTTTTGCTTAAACGCTTAGAATGTGATGTGAGGCAGTGCTTGTTATTATTGTGCGAAGCATCTTTTTTGAATGTTTGCGTCGTACCATGATCCAGCTCTTTTAAGTAATGGCTACAGTAGAGAAGCCGGGTCCTTCATCATCGAAACCTTCGATAGATTTTAACGAGCGCTTCAGGAAACTTCATCAGCTTAGAGTAGGTTTTTGCAGTTTCTGGTTGATAATTTCTCTAAATATGCTTTTTGCAGCAACAATCGCGGAAAGCGAATCATGAACAAGTGGTAGAGGAAGACAGAAAGAAGAAGCTCCCAGCCAATTTTGAGGCGAAGAAGGCTCGTGAAGAATGGGAGCTACAAGAAATGGAGGAGCGAAAGGTATGTCTGTAATAATTCAACGCAGACAATCAGGCGAATTGCATTGGTTTTGTTAGAATCACGTGTCAAAACGTTCAGATGTAAAGGTAACTTTTAGAAAGCCGAGGAAGACAACTTGGACTATGAGCGTTTAAAAGCACTGAATACCCCTGCCGACGTTGCAGCAAGAATCGAAATGAAACGGAAGCGGAAGAAGAATCCTGACCAAGGATTTTCCAGTAAGTTTTTTTCAAAGTCTTGTTCGCTGCGGACGATGGGGCGTGTCCGCGTGGCTGCGTTTGGCGCGTCACCAATCCACCAGTTGTTGAAGTGAGGAATGACAATGACTGATGGAAAACGACGTATACGAACAATATGACGTATATGATGGTGTGATAATGTCCCATGTCGAAAGAAAAAAAACAGGTTGGCGCCGCGCCAAATGCACCGCTGACATGTCTCAGCCTACACAGCGGAAAAGGTTATAGTTTACGTTTCAAGCTATTTTTGAGTCTTTCTGGGTAGTGCGTCAAACAAAATTCAGCATGAGTTAAATGATTCCTTTTAAGAAGATGACTATCTTGCTCCTTGTTATTAGTCGCCTACAAAGTAATTTCTTCACACATTCACAAACGAAGGATAGCATGCATAAAATAAGCTTCCTCGCTTGTTAGGGTGGTCGAATATTGGGTTGATTAACAAGTGATTAACTAGTAATGACGTTCTTCTCACTTTAACTCTCGCGTTAAAGTGAACCTGTTACCATTAACTGTACACATCACCTGTCACCTGTGCTCCTTTAGATCATTGAATTTGGGTGCCAGTAGCGTCCCATTCGTCGGTGCCGCGTGCTAGAGTTACCCAGTTGGTTCTCTGTGCTCAAGCGAACGAAAAGTGTGATAATATTGTGCTGTCGCACAATTTTATCACACTATTCGTTTGGAGCTTCCGCGAAGAAGTCTGACCATCGCGTAGGCAGTCGTCCAATTCGTTTGACATTCCCGAAAAATCCAGATCGCAGAGGAAAAAAATCAATCGCAGAGGAAAAAAACCGTCGTTATCGTAATAATCTTCGAATCCCGTGACGTGCTCGGATCACCTGAACTCGGAACCTTGGCAAATGCGGCTGCGTCCTTGATCTTCGATTGCGACGAAGTGCAGAGCTCCGCAATCTCTCTCTCGCGTGTAGCAGGGAACTTCAAGCATGACCCTTTCTGGCGCGTTTAATGACACTACTTACTGCCTGTTCATCCTGCTTTCGTGGAGTTCGAGTCTCTGAGGCGTATTTAGGGGATGAAGGACCGCGGAATCGAAGGGGTCAGCACGGGGCTTACAGTTCTTCGTGGTTCGATGTTCTTAAATGCACACCATGCCGCTCGTTTTCTCTTGCAGCTCTGGTATCAAGTCCGCTCATCATGTACTTTTCCAACCGCGTTACACATAGCCAGAGCATTCAGAGATGTTCGCTCCTGTGAGATGTATATACTGCTGCGGAGAAAAAAAACTTGGAACAAGCCAAAAAAATCGGAGTTTTCTGTCAATCTAGTTTTTTGATTTTCCTTGACTTGTGTACGGAAACATCGTGACACAGAAAA